GCCTTTGAACTGTGGTGCTGGAGAAGAGTATTGAGGGTACCATGGACTGCTAGGAAAACAAACAGATTCATTCTGGAAAGGGTTAAACAGGGCGGCTCCCTGGAGGCAAGGATTCTGAGGCTCCATCTAACATACTTTGGACATGTTGTAAGGAGGGACTGGTCCTTGGAGAGGGATGTCATGCTTGGTAGGGTGGAGGGACAGTGAAGGAGAGAAAAGCCCTCTATGAGGTGGATTGATTACCCCAGTGACTGGGGTAATCGGGATGGGTGTGTCAGAGACAGTGCAATTGGCCCAGGACAGAGCAGGTTTTAGGGCTGCTGTACATAGGGTCACTGTGAGTCGCAAGCGACTGGACGGCACATAACAACAGGTTTTTCTCTTACTCTGTTTGCACACAGCACCTGCCCAGTAGATATGTGGTGGATGAATGGACCAGGGTTCAACAGTTATTTGTGTATTCTCATGTCTGAGATTTAGGACATCCTGAAGCAGGTTCTATATTTCTGTATCTTAATGGTCTATTTCTCTTAAGCACTAGTGGATTCTCCACATTTTCAGAAAGAGAAGGAAGCTTTAACTTTAACTGTAATGACTTTACTCTGCATTCCAATCTGATTATCCTACATTGTTTAAGAAGTTTTGTTTCTATTCCAAATAATATCTTAAAAAATTTCTCTCCCAGTCAAAATTCTGGCATACGATTAGACATTTATAACTTCTAAAAACCAAGAACATTAGAGCTGTGGTTATTGACAACCTTTTTTTAGATGTTTATCTACAATATCTTCAACAATATCTTTCTCTTCAGGCATCTGTAAAAGACAAAAAAGCGAAGGAAGTAGTTTGTTGTATCTCTTTGTTTTGACATTAATACCTTCATACATTTATCAGTTCTTATACATAGAATACCTTGAAAATGCATTAGTATGCTAGTGTTAGCTATCATTGAATTGATTATAGCAATATGACAATACTAAGCGCTTGACGCTCTTTAAACTTCTAACGCCCTGTCCTTTACTCTTTTCCGTCTCTGACCACTTAAATCCTCTATCTTTTAATGGTTACACTAGCTGTTGATCCCATAGTTCACCCAGAAATGATGAAAATCAAGCACTGTCTCCTAACGCTGTAAAATGGAACGGTTTACAGCTCAGTTAATTTCCAAAGGTAATTGATGCCTTTGAGTTGTGGTGACTTAAAAACCACCACCTGAGTGCTCTTCCTACTTTTGTAGGTCTATTAAGCTGCTCCATGGGAGAAAGAATAGGCAATCTCCTCCTGTGCAATTTACAGCCTCGGAAAACCTGCTGGAGTATTGGACATGCCATAGACTGTGAAGAGAACAAACAGGTTTATCCTGGGGAGGGTGAAACCACGCTGCTTCTTGGAGGCAAGGATTCCAAAGCTCGTCTCACATACTTTGGGCATGTGGCCAGGAAAGACTAGTCCTTGGAGAAGGATATCATGCTTGGAAGGGTGGAAGGTCAGCGCAGGAGAGGAAGACCCCAGATAGGGTGGACTGATGCAGAAACTAGAGTAAGGGGGTAGGTGTGTAGAGGTCAGTGAGACTTGCTCAGAACAGAGTTCAGAGCTATTGTACAGAGAGGGTCACTATGAGTCGCAGGTGACTCGATGGGACATAACAACAACGACAATAAATACCTAACAGATCCAGACTACATGTCCCAGCAGTCAGTGTGGCTGGGACCCTGGTCGAGGCCAGACCCGCACCCCATCTAGGGCTCTCATGGCGTAGTGGGTAAGGATAGGTGCTGCCGAGTCAAAAAAAAGAGGTTCGAATCCACTAGCTGCTCAAAGGGAGAGAGATGGACAATCTCTTCCCATGAAATGTACTGCCTCTAAACACTTGCTGGAGGGTCAGCTCTGAGTCGGATACAACCCGAAGGCAATCAGTCAAAATGCTGGCGAGTACGGCAGGGAAAGACGGGAGGCTTTACTCGTGAGTAGGGCAGTTCGGCCGGCACCTGGCTAAAGAGTGAACCTTTTCTGTGTCTGGTCAGCGAAGTCAAGACGTCCATTCTACCGTGGACTCAGGGAAAGTCACCAACACCTCCTGTAACTCCCGGGTCTTCGCCACGCGCCGGCGCGCACGCTGGGAACACGGGACGCAAGCGCGGGAGCATGCGCAGTGCAACTCAGCCCGGCTCCGCAAGCGCTCCCTCCCGGGTCGACTGTGCATCCACGTGTTCACCTCGCTCCCTGCGCTATGACAGCTGTAGAGGAATCAGAGGCTGTGAGTACTCCCCCCTTCTCTGGCAGGAGCCAAGGCCCGGGCTTGTGCCTCAACGATTGAAGCTGTCTGTCAGCAGCGTCTGTTCTGGAAGAGACTTGAGAGCGGGGTTGCCTGGCTCTGGGAAGCCCGTGTATCTCTGTCTCTCTGACTCTGTCTCTTTCTCTCTCTGTGTCTCTCTTCTGTGTCTGTGTCTCTCTTTCTCGGTGGCGCCAGCTTGTGGAGGTAATTGGCATTGCCAGGGGGCGGGGCGATTGGGGGCGAGGCGATTTGGGGGGCAGGGCTATCTGTCATTATGTGCCCTTGATTGGGAACCAACTCATAGCTGACCCTCCAGCATGTTTTCAGAGGCTGTAAACTGTTTTTGTACATAGGGTTGTGATGAGTCGCGGGCTACGCAAGTACTTAACATCAAATTGCTCAGGAGGCGATTGCCATTTTCTCCCATGGAATAGCTTAACAGACCTACAGAAGTCGAAAGAGCTCTCTAGTGGCGTAGTCTGTATTGTATCGAGCTGCTAGCCTAAAGCAAACGGGTTCAAATCCATCAGCAGCACAATGGAGAAAAGATGAGGTTCTCCACCCATGCAGTTTATAGCCTTGAAAACTCACTGGAGGGTCCACTATGAGTCAGTTCTGACTTGATGGGCAATGAGAAAAATGAGTGACAAAAATACAAAGTCTTTTTAAGTCCATTAGTACTTTTGTACCCCAAGCTTTATTTACATTCACTTTTTTCCTGCTAACCTTTCCTCAAAGAGCATATTCTCTAATTTTAAAATAGTATTTATGGATTCTTGGCTATAGGAAATAAGATTTACATCGTAGCACCTGAAAGACCTCTATAAACGTTTCTTATTGTTTTTAAACATTACTATTTCCAATAGAGATCTTTATCCATAGGTAATTTCCCCCCTTAAAAACCAAATGGTTTGTAGCTTCACTTTCCCCCCTTATTTTGTGTTCAACTTATGTTCCTAAATTAAATTTCAAATTTATGTTTATTGATTATGTTGATTGTTTATTGATGTTTAATAATCTTTGGAAAAAATTACAGCCAGAGTGCTCCTTAGAGGCCAAGACGGGGACGTTTTGCCTTTTATACTTTGGATATGTAGATAGGTGAGGCTGTTCCTTGGAAGGGGACATCGTGCTTGGAAAGAAGGTCAGAGAAAGAAAGGAAGGTCCCCAATGAGATAGATTAACATGGTGACTTCAGCAACGGGCTCTGTGTTCCAGAGATGCTAAGGATGGCACTGGTTAGGGCGAGGTTCAGATTGAGTGTTCACAGGCTTTCTATGAATCGCACACAAATAACATAACTTGGCAGGCACCTAACAACAACCACAACAACAACGGCAATGATCTACTTGATAAGGAGCTGTGCGACCAACTCAAAGACAGTGAGTTTGAATCCACCAGCTTCGGTGAAGGAGCAAGATGAGAAATCTCTTCCTGTTGCATTTACAGCTTCTGAAAATCCACTGGAGGGTCAGCTCCCACTCAACAGCAATGAGTTGGTTATATTTTGTAAATCTTGGAATGGGTGTCGAGAATTCTGAAGAGGTACACTTTCCATCCAATTCTATGGAAAAATCTTAAAGACTGGCCTCCAAATGAAGATGGCAGATGATTGGCAGATCTCTCCCATAAATAAAATAATTACAGACTCAGAAGCCTGAGGAAGGGTTGCCCTGAGTCAGAACCAACTGGATTTTGTTTTTTTATAGATACACTGGTACCTACACACACATTCACTTATGCCTTCCTATAGACATGAATGCATGCAATTCTGTCTCTGAAACAAATTAAGTATTTTTTATTGTTATTATTGTTTCAAAATTGAATTTGTTAAAAGCATTTAATAAAGTATTTTTTTATTGTGTACTTCTTAGTGACTTCAGTTACTTTGATTGTGTTGTGTGGACTTCATCTTTGTTTGGTATTGCCATTCCCATCACCAAAAACAATAAGTATCTACTATCAAGATGGTGACTCCTCCACCTTCTTACTCCCTTTCCAGGTACCTATCAAAGAAGACTTATTTCAGTGTGTCTGTTCTTAACTTTTTATAACGTTGTTGTTGCTGTTGTGTGCCGTCAGATCAGAACCAACCTATAGCTGACCCTCCAGTGGGTTTTCAGAGGTGGTGAGTCACATGGGAGGAGACTGCCCATCCTTCTCCTGAGGAGCAGCTGGTGGATTTTAATCACGTGCCTTTGTACTAGTGGAGCCATATAATAGTTGTACTTTTGTGATTAACTTACTTCACTCAACAAAATGTTCTCTGCATTCATGTTTTAAGATATTTTGTAGACTCTTTGTTACTCTTTATAGTTATGTGGTATTCCATAGTATTAATGTTCTACAGTTTATCTGTACATCCATTAATAGGCATGTAGGTTATTTCCATAGACTTTGCCATTGTGAATACACCTGCAGTGAACGTTGGTGTGTGTATGTCTTTCAATGCCACTGCTCATATCTCTTGGATATATACTTAGGAGTGGGATTGTTGAGTCATATTGTATGTTTATTTCTAGCTTTTTGAGAAAGGGCCCATACCATTTTCTGTAGTGGTTGTTGTTGTTGTTATGTGCTGTTGAGTCATTTGCGACTCATAGCGACCCTATGTACAACAGCCCTAAACCCTACTCTTTTAAAATCCCTTCAGCAGTGTAAGGGTTACAATCTCTGGGTAGCCTCAGCAGCATTTGTTTTCTGGTTTCGTTCTTATTTTTTTATCATTGCCATTTCTTATAGGGAGACATGATACCTCATTGTGGTTTTTTAATGCATCTGTCTTATGGCTAAAGATAACAAGCATCTTATGTTTGTTGGTCACCAGAATGTGTTCTTTTATCAAGTGATCATATTCTTTGCTCATTTTTTTGATTGGATCGTTTGTCGTTTTGTTATTGAGTTGCTGAGTTTTCTATGTATTTTAGAGAGCAGATCCTTGTAAAGTAGATCATTTTCCGTCCCCCCCCCCAGTGTGTTGGTACTCTTTTTACATTTTTGGTAAAATCTTTTAATAAGCATAGGTATTTAATTTTTAGGAAGTTTCAGTTATACACATTATCATCTATTAACTTGCATTAGTTGTGTTTAATAGGTTATTTATGATAAAAATAAGGTTCCTTAGTTTTTTTTTCATTATCTTTCAAGAACTTTGGCATTTAGGGCTTTGATCTGTTTTGAGTTGGTTTTGGTGCATAGTGTGAAGTGTATGGATCATGTGTTTGCCAGTCTAGAGGGGGGACATTGGCAAGTATCCAAGCAGAGAGGGCTGGTGTGATGTGATAATCACTGCACACTTGAAATCCCCAAGGGCGATGCAGCCAGCAAAGGGTGCAATACTCAAAGGTGATGCCTGAGCTAGTAAAGGGGGCAGCTGTAAGTCTGGCACAGAGTAGTCTACTGGTTCCCAAAGAGATTATGAGTGTTGAGCTGTGTAAACTCCCAGTGTTGAATATGAAATGGCACAGCTACCGTCAGGTGGAATAAAGATAAACCAGGGTACACACTCCTCCCACCACCTGGTGGATGGTGGTGGGTGAATAGCACTACCCCTTCTCCAGAAGGGTGTGAGGGATTAGGAAGAATATCACACCGTTCCTGTCAGCTAGCTGCAGGGTGGACATTCCTAGTGACCCCAGTTTCCATGGCAAATAAATAACTATTCTAAATGGCCACATTGCCCTGTTCATGACACTGTACTCCATCTGCCTTCTCATTCTAGGTTTTTCTTTAGTTCTTCCTCTTTATCCTTCCTTTTTTACCAGAGTTCCAGGCTTATATTTGTTTATAGCTATCTTTGGTAAAGAGAACTTGAAGTGTTATCTTTCTATTCCACTTTCATACCTGGAAGTCAGTCTATTACTGACAGTAATATTGGAATATGGAAGTCAGTACTATTACTATTGACATTGACCCATCTTATTTGGTTTGCATCATCCCAAATGATGCAAAACATAATCTTGAATCTCCATCAATCCTAGTTTCCCTTCAACAGAATTGTTATTAGATATCTCTATTGGATAGGGAGCTTGGTGGCCCAGTGGCAAGAAGCTGCACTGCAATCTTGAAGGCATCCAGTTCGAGGCCACCAGCTGCTCCATGGGAGAATAGGCAGTCTCCTCCCATCTGCCTCTGAAAAACTGCTGGAGGGTCATCTGTGGGCTGGTTCCAACTCTATAATACAATAACCAACAACAACAAAAAAGAATTTAATTGAAGCATATCTAAGTCTGATTTTCCAGTTCCAACTTGTTGAGGAGCATTGTTTTGAAAAGAAAAAGTAACAGACTTGGAACCAAAAGTTAGATTTGAATACCAGTTCTGTTATATACTAGCGTAGGTGAGTCTACGCAATTTCATCATTTGTAAAATAGAAGTAATACTTAAACTCTCATGGCTTGTTGTTGGGATCAGATGAGATAATGTGAACACCAGTTCTTTGTCGATATAGGGATGAAGAATAAAAGAACTGCTACTTGGCTCTACTTACTGCTATTTGGTTTTCATAAAATACCATTTGTTTGATGCCAATATTTGTGCAGGGACAAAAAGAGTATAAATAAAAATCCAAGAAATGTGGTAATCATTAATTGCATTTTATGCCACCTGTATTACCATGTAAAATCCACGAACAAAGTATTAATAGTGCCATGGAAGTATTTGTGGATTTAAAATTATGTTAAATTACAAATCCATCAAGAAATACATCATCTCCCTGGTTCTCTATCATGCCCCATGGATCCCATGTTCCTGTAAAGCTAAGCTTGCACTTGGGAGTCATAAAGAAACAAACTAGTACATTTAGGAAAGAAAGGATGAGTTAAGCACCTGCTATTGAGCTTTGGCTCAGCCAGTTAGGCAAGTGATAAAATCTTTAGACTGAATCTTTAATAATCCAAATAGCTTGCTTTGTCAGATAATTGTAAGGATTAAATTAGAAAATGAATGTAAACATATTTGAACACAATTCATAAATGTTCACAAAATAGCAGGTGTAACTGTATAACCAGCTACTACTGTTGTTATTGTTAGGCTCTGTTGAGTCAAGGACAATTCATAGTGACCCTGTGAGCAACAGAGCTTTCCTGTGCCACCCTCACAATAGCCCATTGCTGCGTCGCTGTGTCAATCCATCTGGTTGACGGTCTTCTCTCTTTTGCCAATCAGCCACCTATGAAGAGGTTAAATGTCCCAATCTTGGCTTTCGATACCTGATGAAAGCCAGAAAATTCAGTTCTGAGTCGCAGAAAGGAACAGTTCCCTGTTCACAGTTTCATTAAGTTTATATTCACCTAGATAATTGGTTTTTACTTTATGTCCAAAAGTAAAGATTTAGCTTCTAGTGTTTGGAAGAGCTTGTTCCCACCCATGAGCCCAATGTTCGGGCTCCAATGAAGAACTGGACACGAAGTCAGAGCAATTTATCCCCACTTAATTCTTATCAACAGGTAACTCTGTTTCTTTGAAGATGTTCACAGTGACTTTCTTCTACAAAATACCTCAAATTCCACTGTTGTTGAGTCACTTCTGACTCTTAGCAACCTTCCATTGGGTTTCCAAGGCTGTCCATCTTTATGAGAGGAGACTGCCTGTCTTTCTCCTACAGAGCCACTGGTGGACTTGAACTTGCCAACCTTTGGGATAGCAGCTGAACACCCAGTGCACGCTTTATAGAGATAAAAAATATTCCACAGAATAAAGAAATAAAGTCCATACTTGTGTGACAGGGATGGCAACAACACTTTCAGGTCTGATCCCTAGTAAATTTTATTTATGTATTTATAGTTAAACATTTATTTCCTGAGGTGGTACCCCTAGTACATTTTAATGTGTTGATTCCACTATAGCACAAAGACATGCCATTCTCTGCCACTTGTTAAGCACTTAACTACTAACCAAAGGGCTAGCAGTTTGAACCCACCTAGAAAAACCTTGACACACAGGCCTGTGTTTTCCATGAAAGACCATTTGCTTCCATAAAGTCACAGTCTTGAAAAACCTTAAGATCTGCAGTTTCATTGTGCGGCACATGGGGTTACCATGCATCAGAATTGACGGAAGAGCAACTAGCGTGGGCTGTTAACTGCCCCCCCTCACATACTTGGCTCTCGTAAAATGAAATCCTGGGACAATAAGATATATATGTCATATACTGAGCTTTAAACCTCACTGAGCATCTTATGTCTAATGCCTTCAGCCATTGTTGCTGGTTTGATCCCAGGAAGGCTCTTATCTCTAGCCAATTTTTGGTGATGACAATGTTCTGTAACTAGGCAGTAGCAATGGTTACACTATATTGTAACCAAATTGTACATGTTAAAGTGGTGCTCAGAGTTACAGGCCTACCTCATTCTACTGTGCTGTACTTTAGTGCATTTTGCAGACAATACATTTCTTACAAAGTTAAGGTTTCTGGAAACCTTGTGTCTTCTAAGTGTGCCGGCACCATTTTCCAGCAGCATGTGCTCGGTTTGTGTCTCCTGTTTCTCATTGTTACTAGTTCACACAGTATTTTAAGCCTTTCCATAATGCTGTTGCTCACTTAATAGAGCGTGATAAGAACTTTATATGCACTGGGAAACCAAACACTCAGCGGGACTCATTTAATTGCAGTACTTGTTTTATTGCAGTGGTCTGGAATTAAACCTGCAATCTCTCTGAGGTATGCCTGTATGTGTATATCACCACAGTTAGAAAACAAAACCAGCAGATGCATTGTAGGATACATATTGCCACCCCTGAGTTACGATTCTACCCCCCCCACACAAATGTACATACCTCCTTTGTAGCAGACTTTGATAATTTGAACACTTAGATGTACATCAAGGTGTAGGTTTTTTAAAAGTCTAGTATGGGTGGGTGTTCCATTTTGCAGCATTTTGGCATCACTCAGGGTCATGTAACTCATCCACATCCCTATTTTGGATCCAATTAAGTATTAACTACAGAAGCTCATAGATTGCTTGTAAATTTCTTTGGCCCTAATACATAATTGCCGGGTCTAGAGGATCCTCCCACTCAAAGGATGGGCTGAGAAGGGAGACATGTCTGTCCTTTCCAGGGATGTTTTATGGCTTTCTTAATAAATCAGAAGCAGGAGACGGAAGGGGACTCAACGAGTACAACTGAGCCAGTTCTTGAGATTCTTCTTTTAACCAGCTCAACTTCTCAGCACAGGACTCAGAATTCATGGTTCTTCTTTTAAAAAAAAAAAAATAGAGAGAAACAACAAAATAAACCAATATTGTTCTTTTACAAAGCAAAGATAAAAAGGGGCAGGTCTTCAAGACCTATCCAAACATACAATATGGAGGAGAATGAGACACTGGGGAAAGACAGTAGAGTCAGTGTCTGCCAGGGAGTCCTGGAAGCAGAGAATGATGACGATCTTCCAAAGAAAGGCTTTTAACCAAAGGCAAGGATGCTTCCTGCTGGTCGAGACTGGCCTTGGTGAGGAGGGAAGATGGTCTCCCACGAGCCATGGAGGAAGGTGCTCCAGGGCAGGTTTCTTTTCTCTTACTCCAGTCAGCAGATTCCAGCTGCCCTGCTAGTCCATTTATTGCCAGAAATTCAAAGACTTGTGAAAGATGATGGTGCCTAGGATGAACACTATGGCCAGCACCAGGGAGAAGCAGACCATCAGGGTGATGTAGGTGGGGCGGGTGAAAGGTTTGGGCTTTGGCAGCTCGGCTGGGATCATGTTGGTCAGATTTAGCATGTAGCCCAACGTCCAGCCAGCTTCAGCATTGTCATCGATCTGCAAACAACGAAGAAGCTCTGTTACTTGCTGACCAAGGAGACAACTTACAGATTTCAAAAAACCCAGCCATAGACTGAGCAACCACTACATAAATTTTCTAAATGGATTAATTTTATATTGAGGATTAGGAAGAGAGGAACTCTGGTGGCCTACTAGGTAAGAAATTATACTGCCAACCCAAAGACATGTGGTTCAAATACACTAGCAGCTCCACAGGGTAGCGACAGACAGTCTCCTGCTATGCAATTGACAGCCTCTGCAAACCTGCTGGAGGGTCAGCTGTGAGTTGGCACATAACAATAGCAACAGTCTAGGAATATGGTCACAGGGGAAATAGAGCAGCACGTGAGGAAGAAGAAGTGGAAGCCTAACTACTGTAGCTCCAAATAAAAAAGAAAAATAGTGAATGGCTAACTCTTCAGTCTAGAAGAACTTAACCAAACAGGTCTTTAGAGGCTGTTTTGTTGTGTGAGTGTAAAGCAAACGTGGCAGGAAGCAGGCAATAATGGAATAAGGGCTTATTCAATAGCTTTTTAGAGCCCTGTCAAGCTCAGGAACCTCTGTGTATACAATCAGGACTTCTTTATAATTCACCTAGAAAAATTCAGGGCTATAATCCCAGCAAATCAATCTCACTTTATTAAAATATAGAGGCCTATGTATACATATATAAAACAATTCTTATCATCTAGCATGCTCTGAGTCTGCCATCTTCCTGGGAATATTTGTCACCTTAGAAATTACCAGAATGCAAGTTATTATGTGTCATTGAGTCGCTTGCAACTCATAGCGACTTAAAATTGAAGTCACATTGGCTGCATCATAAGAGACTCACAGCAGCACGATATGTTCAGAATCACAGAAATCCTGATGGCTTGAGACTTAGGCCATCACATCAGGGGCTGGTCAATGAGAGACGGGCATTGAATGCTGTAGGCAGAAGTAGGAAGGGATGGTGGTGGAGTAAGGAAGCATGGGTGGGCAGCAACATTGAATCTATTGGTCATTGTTATAACTGGGCAAATGTCTTTCATCTGCTCTTTTCTGTGGAATGTTTGTCTGTCAGATACTATTATATATATTTAAAGATTGAGACAGACTAGGAAGAAGGATTGGTCATCCACTTCTGAAATGACAGGCCTTCGAAAACCCTACGTACTATAAGAATGCAAGTAGTCCATGAATAATTTTGGAAACTATATAAGTTGCATGTGGTCATGGTAGATAAATTAGGGAATACACACACACACACACACACACACACACACACACACGCTTAAAGAAGAAAATAAAAATCACCCATTTTTAACCACACACAAATTTCTGCTGTTACCATTTTATTCTATATCCTCCCAGTTCTCTATGCATCTTTTTTTTTTCTTACCAAAATATGGAAGTAAATTGTATGTGTAGTTATCCACTTAACAATACATTGTCAATATCACCCTATGTCCTGGGACATTTCTAGAACACCATCACAGGCCTGAACTGTCTTACATGTTAATTTTTATTCCATTTATTAAATTACTGATATATCTTAGAAGTAGAGAGTAACTGAATAAAGTGGTGTGTATACTTTTAAGGTTCTTTGATGCAAACTGTGAAAGTGGTTCTCCAACAGGTTGTGCTAATTTGCATTCTAACCAGAAACATATGAAAATACCCTCTCCCCCACCCCCGAACATTAACACTGAAAAGAAATAAAGTACCAGCTTCCCTCAATAGGGTCTAGAGATTTTACCTGACTGTGTGTCAATGAAAGATCCAGAGTTGGAGGAGTTATTGCTTAGGGCTTAGAAACATTGGGGTATTTCTTAGAGCTCAACATAAATCAGGACTGTCCTGAGCATATAATTTAAATTGTAATAGGCATAACATTCAAAATACCCCTGATAACTCCATAATGAAATGGAAAGAAGCTTGGGATATCAAAACAAAGCAAAAATGTGTTTGAATTATTAAAGTCTACTGACAAGGATTTCAAGTTTGTTGTGTCATCTGCATAATGCAGATTGTTGATGGATCTTTCACCAGTCCTGATACCACACTTCTCCTCATACAGCCAGCCTCCTGGATAATCTGTTCTGCATATAGGATGAAAAGGTATGGAGGCAGGACACACCCTTCCCAGTTTTGAACCATGCAGTGTTTTCTTGCTCTGTTCTGACGACTGCCTCCTGGTCCAAGACCTGAAATGCTAGCTGCAGAGGGTCAAGGACTACAGCCTTCAATATGGATTAAGGCTCAATATCAAGAAGACAAAGATTCTCACCACTGGGCCAATTGGCGGCATCAGGATGGATGGTGAAGAGATTGAGATTATTCACAGCTTTAGTTTGCTTGGCTCCACAGTCAACACTCTTGGCACAAGCAGTGAGGAAATTAAAAGACTAATTGTGATGGGAAAGTCTGCTGTTAGGGACCTCTCCAAAGTACTAAAGAGCAGTGGTGTCACTCTGGAGACTAAGGTGCGCTTGATACAGGCCATGGTCTTTGCAATCACTTGCTATGCATCAGAGAACTGGACAATGATTAGGGAGGATAGAAGGAGAATTGATGCTTTTGACCAGTGGTGTTGGAGAAGAGTATTGAATGTACCATGGACTGCTAAGAAAACGAACAGGTTTAACCTGGAGAGGGTTAAACCAGGCTGCTCCTTTGAAGCAAGGATTCTGAGGCTTCATGTGACATACTTTGGACATGTTGTGAGGAGGTACCGTTCCTTAGAGAGGGTCATCATGCTTGGGAGGGTGGAGGGACAGTACAGGAGGGGAAGGCCCTCTATGAGGTGGACTGATTCAGTGACTGGGGTAATTGGGGTGGTTGTGTCAGAGACAATGAGATTGGCACAGGACAGAGCAGGGTTTAAGGCTGTTGTACATAGGGTCGCTATGAGTCGCAGGTGACTCGACAGCAACAACAACAGACAAGGAAACAATTCTGATGGTTTGTTGTTAGATGCCATCGAGTTGAGAGTTGAGTATGACTCCTAACAGCCCTATGAACAATGGACCTGAACCCTGACCCGGGCCATCCTTATCATCTGGAACCCATTGCTGCAGTCACTGTGTCTGTCTCACCGAGGCCTTTCCTCCTCCACTGTCTTTCCACCTTTCCAAGCATGGTGTCCTTTCCCAAGAAATAGCCTCTCCTAGGAACATGCCCAAAGTACAAGGCAAAGCCTGTCATTTTCGCCTCCAAGGAACCCTCTGACTGCACTTTTCCTGAAGATACATCTGTTCTTCTGGAAGTCCATGGGATATTCAATACTCTTTTTTTCAAGACCACAATTCAAAGGCATTAATTCTGGTAGCTTAATGGTAAGGAATTGTTGCCAGTGCAAAGGTATGTGGTTCAAATCCACAAGCTGCTTCATAGGAGAAAGGTGGGCAATTTTCTCCTGCCTGAAAACCTGCTGGAGGATTATCTATGGGCCATTTCCAACTCAAGGGTAAAAACAACAACAGAGTATAATGACATGGATGACACCAGACAAGTGAGTCTTTTGTCTCAATGCTTTGTTTCGCTTGAAATCACATTTTATAAAATGGGTAAAATATATTTACCATAATCAAGTATGATTTAAAATGTTAGGGGGGAAAGTTAGAAAAATACTGATTTTTAAAGTCTATTTAAAATGTTGGGTTTTTTTTTTTAAATTTTATTTTATTTTCATGTGTGCGTGTATGTGTACCGTCAAATCAGATCTGACTGGTACAGGAGGAAATTGTTCCTCCTTTTTCAGCAGAGCATCTGGTGTATTAAAAATTTTTTTTACATTGGTTTGCATACATAGAAAAAGACTGCTTTTGATAATTTTCATTAACCATGAGTTGCACAGCTAATTGAAGTATTCCTCTGTGCCTACATAACAGCAGATGGCGCTGTGGTAAAGCACAGTAGTGAAGTTTCCTCAGGGCGCATGTTTCTTTTTTTCTAATTGAGATTTTAATGAAAGTTTATAGAGAACTTGGATTTCCATTCACTCATTGTTGCACATTTTAGGGCGCATGTTTCTAATCCCTTTCAAAACTACTCAGTCCCCTCTTCCTCACATAGAGCTTTCAGACTGGCTGTCCCAGAAGCAGTTGGCATTAAAAGCCAAAACCAACAAGGTCTTTCATCCCTTAGAGCAAATAATCTTTTCCTTTCATGAGGAAAGGGCCCTTGTGATGGATATTACAGTCAGTATACACAATCACTGTGGCTACTGAAATGCTTAAAGTAATTTAACATTTCCTTTTTGGAGTTGTTTTATAAGAAATCAGTCACTGTTACGTTGGCATAAAGGTGATTCAGTTAACACAGGAAGCCAATTAACATACCTGAGATGCCAACTTGGGTTAGAAGTGAAGTACGCCGGCATAAGACACCAACCTAAATGTAAATCAGTGTACCACCACCTCTTTCAAGGCCCAAACTGCCTCCATAACTACCAACGACCTCCCCTCAACACAGCAAGTACCCAAAATTACCTTATCTATGAAATCAATCTGATTCCAGTATTCCGTGAAATTATACTTTTTCAAGAGAAGTAAAATGTAGGTGCCAGCAAAGCAGTATTCACTCCTGTACGACTCCTTCACTCGAGCAAACGCGTTGCTTACCTGCAAGCAAAGGGGACACCGTGTTTACACACAGGCACTACCTTCACTAGCCCTCTTTTCTACTCTTAGAGCGGACAGCCCACGCAGATCTGAGGGTTGTCTTTTCCAGATGGGGTTGGGGTATAGGTGGGTGCTACACTCCTTCCTGAGTGAAGACTTTATAGTTAAGGACACTTTGTTAATAGGTGCAGGGGTGAAGGGAGAGAGGAAGAGTTCCCGTGTTCCACCAGGTTCAGAAGAAGCCCGGAAGATCTTTTAGAATTGCCATTCAATCCCTAAACTTGGAAAATCATAATCATATTAGTGTTTTAGAAGCTGTGTAAAGCCTACATATTAAACAAAATAAATCCATTAATCTTTGCTTAGTTAGAGTTTTCTAGATAGTCTTGGCCAGAATCTCTACAGACATCTTAAGGGAGCTGTCGTAAGAAGCCTTGTCATTTCGTTTTGTCACTGAACTTAGGAGCATTCACATCCTCTGGGAGACTGTCAGCAGTTCTCGTTCTAGTCCAGCTGGATTGGGACACAGATTTTCACATGTTCTTCAGGAGATCTGTGTGCACATTCAAGTTTGAGAAGCACAGCTCTGGAACCCAGTTTAGGCACCATTTTGCTAAAGACCGTTCAAAGTGCCAACATCTCACCCTCTCTCTATTCTGGGTTCTTAACCGCCTCTACTTTTTTCCATCTGACTCACACATACGGGACCCTCCTCGAATTTGTGGTGTATTTATTCGCCCTACTTCCATGTGAAGGAATCCCTGGTGGTACAGTGGGTTAAGCACTGAGCTCCTAACAGAAAGGTCCGCAAATGGACTCCTCCAGCCACTCTATGGGAGAAAGATGTGACAGTTTGTTCCTTAAAGATTTACAGCCTCAGAAATCCTAAGGAGTTCTGCTCTGTCCTGTCGGCTCACTTTGGCTGAGAACAAACACGTACTATGTGTCTATTGTTAGTTCTCTGCCAAGGGTATCTAGAAGGGACAGACCCAAACTTGAGCCGCACATGAGGATCAGTCATTCCTCTTAGTGACATTAGCAAGAAGACAGTTCCCACAAAGCAGAGGACTTGCCAAAAATGATGGTTTCCATATAAGTGCCAGTGGAGTTGGGAGATTATGGCTCCTATTGCAACATTTTCAAACTCTCTAAAGACTCAGCTGCCAAGTCAGAACCAAGACATAGCTGACCCTCTAATGGGTTTTTGAGAGGCTGTGAATTGCACAGAAGGAGGTTTGCCATCTGTCTCCCTCAGAAGTGTTGGGGGACTCAAACCACTAGAGAAACAACTCAGAATTCTATAGACGACATCATACTGGGCCCTTGGAACCTTCTCTCTCTCTTTAATTGACTGAATGAGCATTATTTTTATACGTAATGAAAGAAAGAACAGATTCATTTATGGGCTAGTTTCACGTACAGCCAACATGCATTTATGCAGGAGCTTTGAAGCTGGCACTATTAGAGTCATTTAGAAATCAAACCTTTGTGCCTTTAGCTTTACTCAGTATGAACTCTAATCAACTCTGCTAACAGTTATGCATTATACAGATTTTAAAAGTGTTTACCTGGAAGTCTAAACTTTTTACAAGAATTACAGTGATGTTTTATTCTAAAATTTTTTGTTGTCATCATCTTTAAGTGCCATCGAATCAACTATGACTCACAGCAAACCTGTGAACAAGCCGAACCTGGTCCTGCCCTCTTCACGATCTCTGATACGCTTGAACCCACTGCTTCAGTCACTGTGTCAATTCATCTTGTTATTGCCGTGTTCTAGGCCTTGTGAAAAGAGGATGCAGTTTTCACCCTGTGCTTCCGCCCTTCACAAAAGTTTCTGTATTTCTCTCATAGGCAGAGCTTTCAAACTTTCCCTTCAGGGCCTCTGAATTATTCCTTATATAGAATAGACATAGGCATATAGGTCTGCATATGAGCATTCCCACCCCAGACTAATGAAATAAGGGTAAGGAGAGGAAGCCTAGCAAAGCTTTCAGTTTTAACATTTTTTTTAAATAAACAGCTTAAATATACTTCGTGAGTTGCCTGTGACCTAAGATGCTCCTTCACTGATCACCATCGTTACTAAAAGCCTCCCCTAAGTGATGAAGGAAGTTTGGAGTTGGGCTCCTTAGCATTAATGGTCAGCAGTTGGAAGCCACCAGTGCAGTGCTGGAGAAAACTGACGCGGTCTCTGCTTGCTGGAAACCCAACAGAGGGTCTCCATGAGCCGCAATCATCCTTGATGGCAGCAGGTTTTAAGTCTTACGAGTTCTGTAAACTACAAAGCACTGAGATATCTGAGCAGCTCTTGCTCAAGGCCCTCAACCCTCTTCCTGTTCTAACTCCGGCAGAAAACTGGAGAAGAATTCCGAATCTCCAGGCTCTTGTGCAACCTTCTTTTCCCTTTTGTAAGTGCAAACAGGGACAAACATCCATTTTTAATTAATTGCCTTTCTTAGGATGGAAGCGCTATTTACTCTTGCAACAGTGTTAATGCAGAACAGCTGCTCTTTCGAGCCACCCCAGGTGATGTGCCTTTTATAATTGGAGTGGACCCTGTACCTGGCTCCTTCCTGGAAATTTTCAACCAGGAACCACTGGTTTTTGAATGGACTCAGTGCTTCAAACAAGAATAAAAGAATTTTCATTTTAAATTTCTAAGTAGGAAGCAACCTGAACATGGGTAGTGATAAAAAGATCTTAGCACAATGGCATCTGGGGAAGATTCCATGAGCATTTGTTTTCCCTTTTAGTAGAAATCTGATTTCAGGGTTGGGGAAAAAGGAGTTGGCAATCAAGTGACCGGCTCCAGGAAGCCACTCGAGGCTACACTAAGGTTTGGATGCAGTCATGGAATCCTGCAGCCTTCTTTCTCATCCAGTTCGAGCTGATGAGATGGGAAGGAAGGAGTGCTGAGGGGCTTTGAGGATGGCTTTTGCTTTCCTGGGATGGAATGGATGTATCTGACTCTACTCTTCTGGCCTGGAGCATGGTGGGGATTCCGGAAGCTACAGCAACCACCTCATAACCATGAGGAAGTAGGCAAAACAAAGAAACTGCAGACACAATGACTGGGAGCAAGTCTGCTGACTCTGGCCAGACTTAGTGTTAGGTGAGAAAAAGAAATAGAAGCTGCTTTGTTTCAGCCACTGTCTGTCAAATCGTCTCTGACATGTAGCTAATGAGATAGAAAAAAAGGTGTGATGAGGCGCTTTCCTCAGCATCCCTAACAGCGCCCACCATCTGGGCTTCTCTAACATATTTGTCAGGTCATGGCCAGGGAAAACGAGAACCATTTTCCGAGACGACTGACGTCCTACTAAGAGCACAGAGTGACGTGACAGCTGTTGTTTTAGTCACCTACCTTGTCCCAAGGCATAGCGCAGTATTCTTTCATCTTCTCAGTGGTCATATCCCAACTGGAAACTTTATCTGATGTCAAGTTTAAAAAATTCATTGAGTAGTAATAAGCTGAAAATGCCTGCAAAAGAAAAAGGCAATTTGGTCGAGTCCCCCAGGGGGACCCTGATATGCTTTCTAGGAGCCAGGCTTCTTTCTAGACCTGGAATCTCTGCTGTGTGCCTTCACTGACCAACTGATAACCCAGCCCCAAGAGCTGTTTCCTTTCTGGAAGAGGGAACTCTGTGCTGCTGGTGTACATTTTTTAAACTATGGGACCATTAATTTTGTAATCTTAAAAAAAAAATCTTACTTTGGTAAAATATAACAAAAAGGTAGCTATCAGCACATGTACAGTTCAGTGACATTAACTACACTATGTTGTGCCTCTGTGACCACTCTTCAGTCCCAAATGCTTTTCATCACCGTGAACAGAAACCCAGCTCTCTTTGAGCAGTCAGTCCCATCGCTCTCCCATCCCACCGCTCTGCAGGCCCTGGAAGTCTCAAGCTCCTGGAAGCTAACTTGGAGCTCCCAGATCTCTTCTCCTTGGGTTAATCCAGAGCCCTTGTGCAGGGAAACGCACAGAGTACGTCCGGTCCATTTGTCATCTCTTCAGTCAAGATGGAATCGCCAAGGATTTTTATCATGTGGACCATTGTCATCACAAGTACAGCTGGTTGTTAAAACAACTGACATTTCACTTGGGTCCAGACCTCCCAAGGTCGCAAAGCCAGAGAGCTAAATTTATCCATAGAGCTTAAAATACTTCTCACAGTCCCAACCAAATGTTTACTTATAGACTTAAAAAGAGATCTAAAGGAAGTGGTGGAGATCACAGAAAGAGCAAGCATTGCTGTCTAAGTAGTAACATTTCCCCCCTAACTGACCACTTGACATCCTACCCTCTACTGCAAAGTTAATGTGATTATTCAACTGAAGCTTCTCGAACATACTGAGTTTAGAGTCTCAAGTATTAGGTTGGCTCTGCCTCAGCAGGAAGCATGCAAGAGGAAGGGGTGGCTTCAATATGAAGGTGATCTCTCTCCTGCGTATGCCTGTGTGTGCTTTCCACGCTGCTAAACAGCCTTGGTCTCTGACTCCTGTGAAGTGTTTACTCCTGGACTCCATGTTGTGTTTTACTCTCAAGTTTTGACACAGTTTTTGCTCTCTAAAGGACTCTTTACCTGGGGTTCAAGCATCCACCTCAGCGGATTCATGATGTCTTCAGAACTGCATGCAAAAATTTTCATAAGCTTTTTGCATGCTTCATTTCCTGTTTGGAAAAGCTTTTGCGTTCATCAAATTTTCAGGAGCTTTGTGACTCTTTGAGGTTTAAGAGTAGGCTAAAGAATGGTGAGTATAGATATGTTCAGCATTGTTTCTTCATATTGGCCTGTCTGCAAAGATCAGATTGAGTGTCTTCTCTATAAATAAAAGCAGCTAAGCAGTATGCAATATGGGATAATGGCATTACACAAATAATAGAGGATATAATAGATATGATCTAACTATCACAACCACCACTCCTCTCTGTAAGTGTAATGTTTTGTGGTAGCTTCATGTAGCTATCATGCTGGAAGTTGTGGCATGCATATTTCAAGTACCTGTCAGGTTGACCGCAGGTGGCAGGTTTTAGTGGAACTTTTAAATTAAGGCAGATTAGGAAGAAAGGCCTGGAGATGGACTTCTGAGAATTAGCCCATGAAAATCCTCTGATCACAACAGAACGCTGTCTGAGAAAGTGCTGGGAGATGAGGCCCCTGGGCTGGAAGGCACTCAAAATACCCAGCGGCCACACCAGTGGCCTCGGGCACACCGACAGTGATGAAGATGCCACAGCACTGAGTCAATCTGAGCCAGCCACGAGCTGGAGCCAGTTTGTCAGCAACCAGTCACAAACACCTGGATCAAATTTCAAGAAGTTTTAAAAAAATACTGTCTGTGTTATTGTTGCTGTGTGCCGTCGAGTCAGAACTGACTCATACCTGACCCTCGAGAAAGTTTTCAGAGGCAGTAAATCACATGGGAGAAAGAGTGCTGCAATCCTCCCATGGAGTAGCTGGTAGATTTGAACTGTATGCCTTTGGGATTGCAGTGCAGCTTCTTTCCACTACGAACTGTGCGCCTTTGGGATTGCAGTGCAGCTTCTTATCACTGCAATAACTGTCTTATTTCTCTACTCTGGAAAAAAGTTCTTAAAAGCAGCTCTGTAGTCACAATAGAGGTCAAGTCTTAGAATTATAAAGAATCAAGGGTCAACCATGGGAATATGTCTATTCATGTTTCTTTGACTGCCATGCCTAGTATAAGGTCATGTGCCCCTCTTCCCCTGACCCGAAGTCAGTGTATTCACATTCATTTTTTTAAAGTGCTGTCTGCCTCTCACCACTGGGCCAATTGGCAGCATCATGATAGATGGTGAAGAGACTGAGATTGTTGACAGCTTCAGTTTGCTTGACTCCACAGTCAATGTTCTTGGTACAAGCATCCAAGAAATTAAAAGACGAATTGCATTGGGAAAGTCTGCTGTCAGAGACCTCTCCAAAGTACTGAGGAGCAACAATGTCAGTCTGTAGACTAAGGTGCGCCTGATACAGGCCATGGTCTTTGCAATTACTTCCTATGCATCAGAGAGCTGGACAATGACTAGGGATGATACGAGAGTTGATGCCTTTGAGCTGTGGTGCTGGAGAAGAGTGTTGAATATACCATGGACTGCTAGGAGAACAAACAAGTTCGTCCTGGAGAGGGTGAAGCTAGGCTGCTCCTTGCAGGCAAAGGTTCTGAAGCTTCGTCTGACATACTTTGGACATGTTGCAAGGCAAATCAGTCCTTGGAGAGGGACATCATGCTGGGGAGGGTGGAGGGACAGTGCAGGAGAGGAAGACCCTTGATGAGATGGATTAATCCGTCACTGGGGTAATGGGGATAAGCATCTTGGATATAATAAGATTGGTAAGGAATAGAGTAGGGTTTAGGGCTGTTGTACAGAGGGTCGCTATGAGTCAGAGGTGACTTAATGGCACAAAACAACAACATCAACATCAAAGTGGAAATTTCTCTTTCTTTATATATTCTTCAAAAATCTACTTGATGGGGTTTAAAATCTATGGTGGGCTCTTTAATCCCTTGTTGTTATGTGCCATCAAGTCGCCTGCAACCCACAGTGACCCTATGTACAGCAGCTCTGAAACCTTTACTGTCCTGAGCCAGTCTCACTAATTCCGATACACCGACCCCCATAGGCCCAGTTCCTCCTTTGTGTTTCCAAATTTGAGGGCTCAGCCTCAGTTGCCATATCTGCTAGTCTAATGTAAGTGTGCTCTGCTGTACAGAGGGTTTTAGAAGGCCTGTTATATTTCAGAAGTGGATGGACAATCCTTCTTTTTAGTCCCTAAAAGGGGGGGGGGAGAATTATTTTATAATGGCAGATTGCTTACACCAACTGGGATTAGGATCAAATACAGAAAAAAGAATGTTGGTGGAATGGGGTGGTAAATTTTGGAGTGAATAATTTTCATTTATTTGCAGATGTTTTATAATGAAAAATAAACTTCTAAAATCCAACATATTTACATTTTTAATCTCAAGAAATATACTGAGTAACAATAACCATTTTCTTCTTTATTGCTTAAGAAAAATATCCTGATCTGATTCAGGTGGTTCGATTTCACATCATAAATCTTCTTCCTGTGGCTGGAGTAGGTAGCTATCTAAAAGTCTCCCAATTCACAATCATGTTCATCTTCCTCTTGAGGAAGGCCACCGGATGTCTGTCTCATCCAGCAAGTGTTCTTGTTCAGGAAGGACCAAAAGCTAATTCTCATGGGTTTTGCTGACTCAGCTCTAAGAATTCCTGAGCTTGCCTTCAGAAGATGTAAAAATCTACAGTCAATTTCTTAATTTTCTCCCCCACCCCCCTTGCAGCTCCACAACCAGGCATCTCAACCCCCACCACAGCCCTGTGACCTCGGGGCTCCACCTTGGATCCAGACATCACCCGGAGCTATCAGGCGAGCTGTTGAGGAACTAACCTGGCAGGAGAAAGGCTGGTAGGATCTTATCTGTGTTTACTGGGGCATTGCTGATTACCCGGGAGAGCACCTAAGGGCACACCCACAGGTGGGGAATTTGGCCGAGCTCTCTTGGGCTACACCAACTGCCCAAAACAAGCCAGCCAGCTGGCTTCTGTGAACTCTGCAGACCAGCTAGAGGCTAGTGGGTGGGTGGGAACTTGACCTTGACTTTTCGGATCCCGTTGGATCCAGGACCCTGCTGGAGCAGGGGCTATTGTGAGAGGGCACCTGCGTAAGTGCCACCAGGCAGGGAACACTGAGAAAACCATTGGGTAGGAAACAGCAGGTATTTGAGTTAGGACTCCTGTCATGAACAAACGGAGACAGCAGAGGTTTGAGCAAGGTCCTCCAAGTGATTGACCTGCCCTTGCGATCACCCAACACTTTCCCTGCCTCACCCCATTTGGCTCCACCCCAGTGCCTACACGTCTGGGCAATCAATTTGCCTTTAAACAGGAGTACCTTGACCTGTTTTAGCAACAAGAGATTGCCCTAGCAGGCGCTGAACTGACATTTTTCTGAAGTCATAAAGTCAGAGAAACGCACAAGTTTGGTAGCTACCCATCTGATCTCAAGAGCACATGCCAATGTCTCGAAGAAAGCAAACCATCCCACACAATATTCAAGAGCAAAGCAAGATGTCACTCACAAAAGATGACATAAGAGAAACCGATACCCTGAAAGCAGAAGGGCTCCTGGAAAATTCTGACACAGAACTTAAAAGAGAAGTGACTGAATATTTCCAATGGATGAAAGACAAACTTGATGAATTAAAAGATGTTACAAGCAAAGACCAGGAGGAGTTAAAAGAAACAATGCAAAACATTGCGGAGAAAACAAATAAGGCATTAGCGGCACTGGAAAAACAAGAATCCACCATTCAAAATATAAGCTCCAGCGTTTCAGAGGCTGTCAACATGATGGAGGGACATATGAGCAGAGTTGATGAGATGGAACACAGAATCAGTGAAATCGAAGACAAAATTGTCACCACTGATCTGCT